GTCTTTATTCTCTAACCTGATTACGTAATCTTTGTCCTTGACCTCACCCCTCTTTTTTTTAAAATCTGTAATATTGCTTCTCTCTTGTTTCTATGACGTGATTTGAACTCAGTACATCGTTACCAAATTTACTAGTTACTCATCATCTTACTCACCTCTCGTCTTTATTACGTAACTCTTTTACCATTGTATGCATATATCTATTTTGTTTAAACTTAAACTGCCTGTGTAAAAACTATATAAGCGCAATTTTCTGAGCACTGTTCACTTACTTTGGAACTTTCTCTCAACTGACAACATGTAAAATTTGCAAGTATGTTAAAACTTTTCTGTACGTAAACCTCACAATTTATTTAGGCTGTAAGCAGCTGATGAGAAGCCGACGAAATAAATGATGGTACCACTTTATTCTGCACAAACCACTGTTGTTCTTGCTTTATTTAAATTCATCATGGGGAATAAATGCATGAAAATAATAATAATGATAATTAATGCATCATGCAATCACCTCCTAATGCAATAACTAGTTGTATATATGATCTTGAGAGGTTCATGGCAGGAACTAGTCATTCTGATTATATCAAGTAAAATAATAGTTAATGCAAGGGTAGCAAAATGCTCAAAAGATACAAAAAAAACAAAAATACAAGAACAACAAAAGAGTCAGTTTATGCTGTTATTGTTGTCATGTGCATGTGTGTGTGTATATGTGTGATTTATTATACGTACAGCTGTGTTTATTTTCTTCTGCACTGAAATTTAAAAAGGTAAAATGGAACCAAGTTGTCACTTCAGTACATCAGTTACATTAGTCGTCTGAATTCGTCAAGCATATAAATTAACACACTTGCTAAGGAGGAGGAGGGGGCGGGGGTTAATGCCTAGATGCCATGCGCGCCTAACCCTTCGAGTTGACTGGATGGTATCGGTCAACTTAGCAGCACGATTACCCAGTTATCATTGTTTCAACTTATTTCCAACTGCTTACACAGCACAAAGACATTATTAAGTAATTTCTACAGAAATAATTTCAACATACTTGCATAGAAATTCCATATTAGTTTGTTTATTAGATATATCACACAGTGAAACAGTATTATTTACTGGATGGCACAGTTTCGAACAAAATTTACTACTGTTCATAATCATATCAACACCAACAATAAGGAATCTAAATCATCAGTAGTAATTCCATACAAGGAAGGAACCTCGGAAGCCTTACGCAGAATTCTTAACAAGGCAGGAATAAAAATGGCATTCAAACTCACCAACTCAATTAGAAACAAGCTTTGTCGATTAAAGGATCCTGTAGAGCCTTTAAAACAAAACAATTTAGTTTATCTAATACCCTGCAATGATTGTCAGGTCAAATACATAGGTCAAACTAGTAGAACAGGGGCAGTCAGACTAGCTGAACATAAAAACTTAGCAAAATCTAGATTGGTTGATCCAAGTAAGATAAGAAATCTAGAGAATAGTTCAGCTATAGCACTACATGCAGTTACACACAACCATACAATAGGATGGGATAGGATGACAGTTTTAAAATCTAATGTAACAGGGTGGCGAGTGGGGAAGACTGATAACGGAAGCTTTGTTTATCGAATCAACTACAAATAGATGTAATAGGAATGATTCAGCACCTGTCCCCGATATCTGGAAGATTCTACTACCCCCACGAAAATAAGAGAGAACAAAGAAAACTATAAAACTCAAGTTTCAAAGTCGTGTGATTACAATTTTTTTAAATAATAATAATAATTTGCTTTATTTATTAATTATTTTTTTGATATGATATGATTGATAATTGATATGATTATGAACAGTAGTAAATTTTGTTCGAAACGTCATCCAGTAAATAATACTGTTTCACTGTGTGATATATCTAATAAACAAACTAATATGGAATTACTTACTACCACAGTGCCCGAGTTTTACACATATATTAATGCTTGCACAGAGTTCATTTTTAGACAACAAAAAAAAACAATAAATATTTGCATAAAATGCTAATGCTAATAATAATAATAATAATCACTTTATCCCAAACAATAATAATCATACATAATGCAATCTTTCTGCATTACGTAATCGGATGAAAGACACAACTTTCTGGACATGTATCGAAAAGCCTACATCTCAAGGGAACAAATGCTTCCAACAGTGCCACAGCTAGGCATCTTATTGACACAGGTCATGAGGTGGACGTTGCAAGATTGTTAAAAACTATCCGTAGGCAAAAGAGTTCAATTCTATTTAAGTTTACCGAAGCAGTTTCCATTAAGCGCCTGAAATCCGATTTGTGCGTTCAGAGACAAGTGATTACCAGTCTTCCCTTACCCACCTGGTAACTGGGTATTTTCCTCCTCTCTTGCATCCAATAACGTAATGCCGAAAGTTTCCATTGTGTATGAATATTATTGTTAGGGATAAAGTTTATTCATTTATTTAATTATGCAGGAACTGGCGAGGAATCATGCTTCTGTCAACGCCAAGTAAAATTCTGAGTCACATCGTCCTGGAGAATAAAGGACGCACTGGATACAGAACTCCGACCAGAACAAGCTGGATTCAGGAAAGGAGAATCATGTTCTGACCAAATTGCAACTCTACGCATCATCATCGAACAAAGCATGGAATGGCAATCAAACCTCTACCTCAACTTTATAGACTTTGAGAAGGCCTTCGACAGCGTTGACCGCAAAGTAATTTGGAAACTACTCGAGTACTACGGCGTACACGAAATATTCATCAACCTTATTCAACAGCTGTACGAAAACGGCACATGTCAAGTGATCTACAACGCAAAACTCAGCGAGGCGTTTCGAGTAAACACAGGAGTCAGACAAGGGTGCTTATTATCACCAATGATATTCCTAATTGTGGTGGACTGGATTATGCGTCAGACAGTGGGAAACGAGACGACAGGGATATCCTGGACCGACGTGAAGAACCTAGAAGACCTGGATTTCGCACCTGGATGATTTATGTTTGATGTCACACCAAATCGAAGACTTACAAGCGAAAACCGATAAACTGGTCGAAGAGGCTGGCAGCAAAGACAGGACTCCAGGTGAACATAGACAAGACGGAGGTCATGAAAATTACCAACCAACAACAACAACAGAAGCAACATCCAGTGCCAATCACCATCAACGCGAGGGATTTGAAAGAGGTCACTTCATTCACTTATCTAGGGAGCATTCTGTCAACTACAGGAGGAACGGACGGACGAGGATGTCAAATTGAGAATCGGGAAGGCGAGAAACACATTCATCAACCTGAAACCAATCTGGAAATATTCGTCACTCACTCAGCATCAACAACAAAATTCGGATTTTCAATACAAACGTCAAGTCAGTCAGTTCTTCTATACGGATCAGAAAGTTGGTGGGTCACAAAGAATATTTCCAACAGCCTGTTGCAGACCCTTATCAACAACTGTCTTCGTTCTATACTCAAGATCAGATGGTCGCCGGAAAGAATCACCAACAAGAAACTATGGGAACAAACAAAACGAGAACCAATCGCTCAACAAATATGCAGGAGAAAATGGAGATGGATTGGACACTCGCTGAGGAGGCCGGTGGGTGACATCGCGCGTCAGGCCATAGCTCGAGTAAAACCCGAAAGGGAAGCGGCGAGTGAGACGTCCAAGGGTGACATGGAGGAGATCGTGTGAAGAGTAGTTGAAACAGTATGGAATAACATGGACGCAGGTGAAAAGTACAGCAGAAGACAGAAGTAAGTGGAGACGTGTAGTTGAAGCCCTATGTTCCACTAAGAACCCAAGGGAATAATAATAATAATTATTATTATTATGACTATATGCATTCCATCCTATTTAAGATTCGTCATCTCGATGTGTACACCTGCAGTTGCAGTGAATGATAGTGTTCTCCTATTGTGATTCAAATCCATTCACCCATTCATTCGAACATGCCATAACACTATGAGAGCTACTTTACGTATAACGACGGATTGATTTTATTGAAGGCAAAAAGGTGCTCACTTTACTATTAATATGTTAGAGATCCTAGGATGGATGTTATTTCGTCAAAGTACTGATAAGAACAGACACTAGTAAATATAATCAACCAGCCTATGTAACACACTCCTGGGCAACACCACCACCACCAACAACAACAACAGACAACAATCAGCATAAACGGGAGGAACCTGAAAGAAACAACCTCTTTTACCTACCTGGGAAGCATCGTTTCAACTACAGGCCGGCGGAACTGACGAGGATATCAAAGCAAGAATCGGAAAGGCAAGACAAGCTTTCACTACTCTCAAGTCTGTGTGGAGGTCAACAGTCAGCACTCAGCATCGAAAATAAGTTCTCGATTTTCAACTCCAATGTGAAGTTAGTCAGTGCTACTATACGGATCAGAGACTTGGCGTGTCATAAAGAGCATCTCAAACAAACTACAGACCTTCATTAACAGTTGTCTTCGCTCAATACTCAAGATCAGATGGCCGGCTAGAAAAGATCAGCAACAGAGATCTCTGGCAATGAGCGAACCAACTCAGCATGGACCGATTGTGAAACAAATATGCAGGAGGAAATGGAGATGGATTGGCTGGCCATACTCTGAGGAAACCATCAAGTGAGTGACATCACTAGACAAGCCATCGCTCGAGTGGAACCCGAAAGGGAAGCGGCGAGTTGGTCGTCAGTGTGAGGTTGACTTGGAGGAGGTCATGTGAAGAGGAGATGAAAACGTGTGGGCAGACTTAGAGCCAGGTGAAGACTCTACAAGAGAACCGAACGCAATGGAGACGCACGGCTGAAGCCCTTTGTTCCTCTAGGAATTAAAGGAAATAATAATAATAATAATAATAATGTAACACACAGAAATCCGGGAAGTTTTATCTACGCTGAGATAGACCACATCATAGGTACGCGCTGCTGACGAGTCCTACACTAGGATGAAATCGATAAAAATTAAATGGGAATCAAACAGAACACAATCTCAAACAAGCAAAAGACTTACATAAAATGAATCAGTGAATATCGTTGAATTGATACCACCTTTCAATTGTTTATTACACATATGCTGTTGTTGTTGTTGTTGCTGATGAGATTGTTGGTGATGTAATACATTAGCTTGATAGAGGCTTTTCAACTTCATACGTTGTTCTGATTGACAATTTATCAGCCATACTGGTAGACTGTCTAATAAATGTGTTGGCAGGCCTAATCGATGTATCAACCACACCAAATTCCATGTTAATTGTGGATGACGACTGAGCAAGGAGGATTGAACCGATGCCGGTGATGATGACAACGGTGATGGACAGGGACAGCGTAAGCATTCATCACCTTCTCGTTGAATAATTGTCTCCAGTGTTCTTCTTAAGACAAATGGACTTAAGTAGGAATACTGTAGAATAAAAAAAATGAAAAAGATTACTTCTTTAGATTAAGGTGTTTCATCATTAGAAAGAAATGGTTAATTAATAAACAATGTTACAATTCATTGAAAACACATGCATTTAAAAATTGTAACCAGTAGATTGTGTATAAAATAAGCTGTGATAAATAATTTGCTACACACAGTGAGCATTTCCTCGCATTTTTTCAGCAGTTGTCAGTTGAATGTACACCTGCATTCGCCTGTGAGTGAATGACAGGTTTCCCACACCAATGAAAGACTCGAACCTAGTGCCTACTACTGCATATAACAAACGTTTATTCCCTAGGCACCAGTTGGGCCACGAGAATCATCGTCTGAGTAAATCTACAACAGTTAGTCTAAGCCAAGTAGGAAGATGTAGACTTCCTGACTGGTTGGGGTCCTCGGGACGGTAAAAACCAATGGTTGGAAACAATAGGTGACATGGCTCGAAATCGTTCTCAGTGGTGCAGATGCATCCACTCCTTGTGACTTATGATTTACAATAAAACTGTTTTGTTCTTCGTTATTACTATATCTTTGTCTCACACCTCTGTTTACTGTCTATATTATGCATTTCTCCTACTTTCTTCTCTTCCTTTGTGTGCTACATGGAGGGAGTGTGGCGACTTGAACTGCCGTACATATGTGCAAAGTTCTATGTCGAAAACAGACAGACAGACTTGAGTAAAACGGATATCTGCTGTAATTTGTATTTCCGATTGATCGATTGACTGATTTTTATAATGGATTGAAGTAAATGGTCTCTGTTGCGGTCAAATTAGCGGCTACTACTAGTACGGAAGCTTCGATGATGTCTGAGGATTAACACTTATGTTAGTTACTGTTGTTAGAAATATAAAATGGAGTAGATGAGTTAACCGCTGGATGACAGTGATCAATGGTAACTGTGTTTTGTGTGTAACATCCAGCGGTAACCAAATATTCCACAGGTTAGTGATATACATTTTGTTTCAAAGTATCTGGTTTCTATGTAATTAAAATCCAAGAATGATGAAACAACGGTGAAAAATTTATCATTACGAGATTGATATCAGTTAAGCAACCATTGAAAACCAACAGGGAGTACTGCATAGCCAGCTGTTTCATCCTAGTTTCCGAATCATCGGCAGTACACACCCACTAACAGGCTTCGAACCCACGACCTTCCGGTTACAAAGGGCAAGTTCGCAGACTAATCATTAGCCGCTGGGATGCGACTACTCAATGGCCAGCCCACGAATTCTGACTTCCACCAATTTGTGATTTAGCGCGACTGGCACCAACCACTATCATCGGTGGGAACTCCATTCTCACACACTTGAGTGGTTATGGACGTCACTGGTCACGACTTCTCATTAGAACTCCAGGAAACTCCATCCTGTAGCAAGTGACTACCGAGCATCAGATTAATTCTCAAGAGTGGATTTGTAAGGATTAGATTTGTTTTTACGAGTTTGACCAGTCAAGTGTGAGGAAGAATTTCGCACCGATGACATTGCTTGGTGCCAGTCACGCTAAATCACAAATCGATAGAAGTTACAATTCATGGGCCATTGAATCAGATCCCAGTGGCTGAATGGTTTACGAGCTTGTCGCTTTGTAACCGGAAGGTCCTGGGTTCGAACCCTTGCGGTGGGTGCGTACTGCCGATGATTCTCAAACTAGGATGTAACAACTGGCTATCCAGTACTCTCTGTTGGATTTCAATGGTTCTCTAACTAGTGCCAATCCGTGGTCAAACTCATAAAAAACAAGTCTAATCCTTACAAATCTACTGTTGAAAGATTCATCGTCCATATGGATGCTTTTTTTAAAGTGTTATTATGTCCTCTCTCTAAGTCTTTCCATATCTTCTAAGATATGAAGACTCTGGCTAAGTGACTTCGACTACAAAAGTTTGCATTCTGTCTCCATTGTTAGGTGATATAACAGGGTGAGTAATCTTGAGGTTAGACGTCGAGGGTTAGTCAGTAGACGAGATCGTGAAACTACATCGATTGAGATGGATAAGACACGTGTGCGTGTTGCCCACTCCTAGCCATAGCCTTCTTTGAAGAGAAGTGATAGCTGATGTAGGATTAGATTGGAAAAGAGTTAGTGGTGATCTAACTAAGTAGAATATTGGTGATATGGTTGAAATTCGTTCTAAATGGTGCAGATGCCTTCCTTTACCCCTTGTAATCTCTCCGATATCCAAACTAAATACCCATCATGCTTTCTGAATTACTATTCTTTCTCCAGCACACGTTTACTTATTATAATCCCTTTATTTCCTCTCTTTTATCTATTTATGTGCTACATGAAGTTTAATGGCTTGAACTGCTGAGTTCTATGTTGAAACTCGGTCGGTCAGTCAGTCCGTCAATCAGTCGGTTGTCTCTAAGTAGGCTGGTTTTACATTCCTTAACTCCCATTGTTCGTTAGTCCGAGAGAAAACAACAACAACATCTTCAACGCTGACTTCTCAGGGAATGAAAGCTTGGCGATTACAACTGTCGAGTTTAGAGAACAACACCGAAATACACCACAAAAAATGATCTCAATGCCAACGAACATGATTAAAATTTCGTATGAGTCATACTCCAAAGTTGAGATTTCCTTGAGATCATACACACACGCATACATACACACTTACTGTAAAACATGGACATTTTTTGAGCACAAAATGAATGACTTCTTACTGAATTTTTTTTTGATAAGTGCCTACTACTCTGAGACAGTAAACAAAAAGAAATACGTCCAACCCTTCTCCCTGCCATGGTCGTCATAAACAGGTAATTCTTCTAATAGTGACTATCCCATTGCCTTTCTTATCCAAACTTCCTGTTTATTCATGTTATTTTTAAGTTTTTCTTAAGCTTTTTCATATTTACACTACCATATTTCCATATCCGAACTTCCTGTCTATTTTGTTATTTTATTATTTCTACATATTTAATCCCTGATTGCATAAACAATTATTCGTCAAATTAGTTCTGATCCCACTAGATTTTTTATCCAAACATCCTGTCTACTTTTGTTATTTTCAAGTATTGGATTTGTAGGGACCAGTAGGGTTGAAGATGAAGCAGTAACTCATCGAAGAAGACATTGCGAAATTGTCGTGCTATGTCGTGAATTGGCAGAAGTTAGAATTCAAGGACCATTGGATCGGGTCCCAGTGTCTCAATGGTCTATGAGCTCGCCTCGTAACCAGAAGGTCCTGGGTTCAAACCCTGGTAGGTGCATGCTTCTGAAGAGTCCCAAATTAGGACGAAATGGCTGTCCAGTACTCCCAGGTTTTCCAGTAGTTCTCTAACTGATGTCAGCTCATGATGAAGTCCTCCAGACTTTTGTTATTTCTACATTTCGAACTCCTAATTGCACAATCAGTGTCATTCTTCCCAATAATTATGATGCTACTTTGTTTGAGTTTTATCCGTCCCCCTGTCTATTATCGTCATTTTAATTCCTAATTGTAATTTTATTAATTTGACTCTTGACCGGAAATTATTCTGGAACTTTCCTTTTCATTTATCATAAATACACGAATGTGCAGCCTCCTCGCTGATGACTTCGTCGAAAAGAAAATTCTCTTCGCTGCAACTGTCTTTTTATTATTCCTTAAATTATTTTTTAGTTCCAAGAAAATTATTAATATAAGTGTAGAACTTGGGCGCACTGTGTTGGTATAATGTAATTCCCTAATTAGATAAGTTTATTTTAAACATCACACACAGTGAGTGATACAGTATCAATAACTGGATGGCAAGGTTTCGAGCATAAATTATTGCTGCTCATAATCATATCAATTTTAGTCACACGGTTTCACAATTTGCCTTATTATATATATGTTTATTTCCTCTCTTCCTGTCTCTCTAACGTCTAATAAAGTATATTTATTTAATTGAATTTTAGATTTTTCCCGTCGATTGATTGGACCGAAGTGGTCGGTCTCAGGTTGACATGTCGGCTTCTTGAGCAGATGCTTCGACGATGTCTGGGCATTTAATTAGTATTTAATTGGTGGATGGTGACTAGCAGTGGAATCCAGGATGCGCATTCCGCCCTATTTGGGGCTTGTCAGCTGGATGTGCCTGAATTCCCCAGTGAGTGATGATGTTCCCACTGAGCACTTCGGTCCAATCAATCGACGGGAAAATCTAGAATTCAATGAAATAATTAATATGACCCGTTGCACAAGAGGTGGCTCTCGTGGCCTAAGTGGTCTAGTGGATAACGCTTTGGCGTTGGAAACTATGGGCACTGGGTTCGAGCCTCGGTGGGAACATCATCACTCACTGAGAAATGCAGGTACATTCTGATGACGAGTCCCAAATAGGACGAAATGCGCATCCTGGATTCCACTGCTAGTCACCATCCACCAATTAAAGTATATTTATATTTCAATGGTTTACACACGATAATGAGTGTTTGTTATTGGTATTATTGAGAGCGAAATTACTGCCCGTGTTCACACCACTGTTGGAATTGTTTTGTACTTTTAATTCACACATTTATGATTTGTACTCATATATATATATATATATATATATTTACAAACGTGCTAGGCTGAAATCGATTACAAAATAGTGTCAAACGGGAGACAATGGTGGTGATTAGTCATAATAGATTTGTTGAGTGTGGGGTAGGAAAATTGACAAGTCAGTTCAAGGTTATAAAAGGTGTCAGGTGAGAGGCTAGTACAAATATATGCCTCCACCCGTTTCATTTCATTTATATATATAGTTCATTTATTTTGTTCATTCATGTTTTTGTATTCAGAATTATATTCCAGGTTGTTGACAGTTGTACTGAGTCACCCTTGTTACATGTATCCGGTGTGACCTTTTTACATTTGTTCATATTAGTTTTTAGAATACAAACATTGTTCCAATCAATATTGTGGTTTTTGTCCCATGCATGTGCAGATATAGATGAATTTTTTTCTAAATTCTTGTAAGGTTATTTTCCTGTTGGTTGACCTTTAGTTAGGCGTTTAAGTT